GTGTGTGTGTGTGTGTGTGTGTGTGTGTGTGTGTGAAGGAGAGACTGGAAGAGATGGGAGCATGTTAGCATTAGCTAGCGTTAGTGATAGCCCCGTTAAAGTCAAATACCTCTTTTAATAACCTAGAGATGTAACGTTACATTATCTTCTCCGGCTGAAAGCTACTAGCGTCAGTCACCTGCTGGGTTCCTCGGAGCTGTCAGCGGGCTGCTCGGACTCCGCTGTCTCCGCATGACTTCTCTCGGCAGTCGGATGAGGACGTCGTAGCGGAGCCGCAGGCAGGTACAACGACAGGGAATACAGGTACAAGCTGGCTGCAGTCACCACCGCGATTAGTCCGACAAGTGAGCGCATATTCCTCACTTGGTCAGCCGGGACACGGCTTCACCTCCTTGTTGACAGCAAGTGAAGCAACGGCCAACCTCTGCAGCTTCTTCTTCTTCTTCTTTGAATTAAAACGGTAACTGGCATCTTTGGTGTTGCGGTACTGCCATCTTCCGGAAGTAATAAGAACTAGCTCCTACAGTGTCCGGTTAACGGCTGTCTGGGGTTATAATAATATTTAAATTGAATTATATTACACGATGAATCTATGATAACATACTACATCGAGAAAGCCAAGTTAACGGAATATTAGAAAAACAAGGGAATAATAAATAGACAGAATTTAGTTTTCTGGTTGGCTCCAGCCCATATGGGGGCGGTAATGCTCCGAGTCGTTGCCATCAACGGCCAGTAGCAACCAGAAAAAGATACAACGAAGAAGACCGTTTGGAAATATGCCGTATCTCATATTTGAAACACTTTATTAAAAAATAATATACAATACATACAATATACAATACATATAACAACACAGAGCCCAGAAGTACAGGCTAAAGTAATCAAGGGGAACAAGGGTTTTTCATTCAAAAGTACAAATCATCGCACCAATTTAAGTCAAAGTCCATCAGTCCTGCGAGTTCTTTGAATATTTTATGGCATCTACATATGCATTGAGTTCAATCTTAAAATAGAATTTGCATTTGTTGATGTGGTATTTTGTGAGTAAAAATACAATATTTATCATATATTTTCCATCACTTTCTATCTTAAAATCAAACAGCACACTGTTGATTTTAAGATAGAAAATAGGATTATTTATAGAATTGTGACTAAATCTTTTTGCAATAAAGCCCCAATTGTTCTATTATTATTCTCACTCTCTGTTGAATAGCACAAACCAAATGTTGTAGTCACAAGTCCCTATCTAACTGTACAATGATCTGTACATGAGTTGGCTGTTGCCTCACAATATGTATGTGTGTAAATTGCTCAAAAAAAGAAATGAGCAAATTTGACATGGTGTCCAAACAGTGGAATTTTTCACGTGATGCCATGTGATCCAATTTTTTTTTAAAGGTAAATCAACTTCCCAGTACGAACACTTAAATTATCCTTATTTAAATCATAAAGCTCTAAACGTTGTAAAATGCACTAAGCCGAATCCAAACTTTCCTTCCTCCGTTCATGTGAATGAGTCCAAGAACGAGGCTGGATCGACGGCTGGGAGGCGGGGTTAAGGGGAACGCTCGTGCGCTTGCTCTTTGGTCATTATCGTATGACTTCCATACACGCAAGTCGAACTTGTTTTGTTTCAGGCGTCATTGAGCAACTTTCATAGGAATGAACGTGGCGCCGCCTCCGACGCTGTAAATCGTTCTGATTATGCATTCGCGATCTCATATAATACAAGTTTGATAAAGGCAATTCAATCTTGTCAGCGGGAGCGGAGTTACAAAGTTTGGTCTGCACACCTAAAATAAGTGCGGTATAGCTTGTAGTATTTGTTCGACAGGCTCGATGGCTCAATATACTCGTGTTTCGGGGGTTGTTGGCTTAATTACTCTCCAGAATCCGCCTGTCAACGCACTCAGGTGAGCTGAAGTCAAAAACAAGGCTGCAGAGCTTAATTAATACACGATTTACCGCAAATCCATATGATGTGTGTCAGAGATGCAATAACTTTTCCAGACTTGCACACGAAATGGTGCACATATAACTTTGTCTGCGAAAGAAAATAACATTATTTGTAAACACATGAGAAAAAAAAATCTATATTTTGCCACAGGGTGGCGTCATAGGAAAGACTTAAATCAATTGTGGAATGTAACCACATTTGTACTGTACTTACTATTATTGGTCATAATATTATGACACTGACAAATAATGAGTACTTTAACCTTTAATACTTTAAGTACACTTTGCTGAGAATACTTCTGCAGGCATTTTACTTGTAGTATTATGGTTTGCGAGCAAAGTCTGATCTCCTGGTAAATGATCCACTGCAGCAGTTTGGGGTTTAAAGGTTTAAAAGGCACCTCAGTTGTTTTTCTCACAAAAATGTAATTAGACCGCCACTGCCCCATTTTACAGAAACATATTCCATATAAAATGTATGTCATGTTCTAGATAAAGCACGTTATTTTGGGAAGAAGGGCTGTAACAGAAATATCTATATTGTCCCTTAAGCCTCGCTATAACAACAATTTAAAGGGTAACAACCAGGTAAACTTCAGCAACATGGTACGCCCAGTATCATGTAAAAATGCCTTTTTTTATATACAGTGCAGCGGTGAGGCAGGGCATTGTTGACAAGGTGGAGACAGCACTCAGTGACCCAAAGGTGAAGTCTGTGGTCATCTGTGGCCAGAATGGAAACTTCTGTGGAGGTATGGACAATTTTATTTTTTTCTTCTATTTCCTGTTACTTCACAACCCCAAATAAGGCTTTGTGGTGGCGGGGCGTGTTCGGGCTCAGCTGCAGAGGGGACAGAGTGGGGGAGTGGTTCAGGGAACGGTGCTGGGAAGAGGCTTAATTAGGCGCAGCTGAAACCCATCTTGAATTGAGTCTCTCTCGCTGAGATATAAAAACGCTAGTAGTGACGGAGGCGCGAGAGCGCGGGGAAGAGACACAGACTGGCAGTGTGACAGAGAAGTCGGCAGACCTCAGCAAACCCACACGCCGTGCGCTCGGAGGAAGGCAGCAGAGCGCACGGCCCAGTCCAGCCTGACATTGTAACCGAATAAAGAACGTTTGAGAACACTATTTGATCGTGTGCTGGCGTCCGTGTGCTCCCAGGACCCACAGTGGTAGCAAGAGTTTGTTACAGGCTTATTGTTACATCCAGATGTCAGTGAGCCCTTACATATTTGACAAAGATAAGAGTTTTGAAAATCGTTTCAAATGGCAAAACTCCATGACATTCTGGTGTTTGCAAATAATGGCTTTCATTGGTCCCACACCACACACTTGATATCTTCCCTTCACTGATTTTTACAATCTACAATAAGCAAGAGCATTTGAAGATGTAATCCAATTGCCCTCTCAAGCAATAAAAATGAATGCTATTCCATGTAACAATCTTGAATTAGATTGAATTTTAATATCAGCGTCTATTACATTAAAAACAGTATTTGGGGAGACAAAAATATGTTAAAATTGTGTTTTTCTGTACTGCTTTCAATTAATATATAACAAATGTCCCTAATTAAACTAATGCAAATGCTTTAGGGCTTTTGTTTTGACTACAACTACAGATATTTGTGGTGATTTATGGGATACACTTCAGCCTGGAAGCAACCATGGAGGGAAGAAAAGAGAGGATATTATTACCCTTGTTTCACATAAATTTGCACAGGATTTAATCAAAAACATGCGAGCACAGCATTTACATGGATACCTTCACAGGTGCTGATTAGAGCAAGAATCATATGACGAAATGAAAAGTAAATAATCAGGAGGCTTGTTTAAATAACCTTCAATAGTTTGTATTTATTAAATAAAATGTGCATATTTGTGTTATTTAACAAACTCCATAAACATGAAGTATTGAAGAAAATGTCTCTCAAAATCAACATCCAGAAGCAAACATCTTTATGGAATCAGACGCACTTCTTATCACAATGTTGTGTTTATGTCTTAAAGTTTGAACCCCTGGTAACAGCATGAATTCATTTTTGCAAAACAGGAGCGGACATCAAGGAGTTTGTGACAAAAATGTTCGGACCTCCACTGATACCGATGATCCACTCCATCGAGACTGCGAACAAGCCGGTAGTGGCAGCCATCGAGGGGAGCGCTTTAGGCGGAGGCCTTGAGCTGGCACTCGGGTGTCATTATCGAATCGCGCACTCTAAAGTTAGTCTTTCATATCTCTGTCTGTCTCTTCAGGTCAGTGTCGAACTGACAGTGTTGTCTTGCATGTTACAGAGTGACTGTGTTAATTGAATTGTTATGTTTTCAGAGTCATTAGAAATAAAACCAGTTCAAACCACAGCCCTGTTTACATTTTTGTGATGTAAAAAGATATTTTCCATGTAATAACCAATGTAATGTATTTACTAAAGCTGTCTCTATGAATGTCTTGAAAAACCCACACTGATCAGGACATTCAACAAACATTGTGTCCTTTCAGGCCAGACTGGGTCTTCCAGAGGTGACTCTGGGTCTGCTGCCAGCTGCAGGAGGATCCCAGCGGCTGCCAAGGCTCATCGGGGTCCCAGCGGCCTTAAACCTCATCACCACAGGTAGCAAAGTCAGGTTAACCTTGCCTCACTATTACAGAGTGGATGGTAGAAGTTTAGACTGTTTTTAAAGTACCAAATCAGATAAATGGAAGTATCAGTAAATATCAAGATATATCTTGGTCTGTTTTTCTTCCAGGGTTCTGTTTGTGCACCCACATTTTGTCGTATTTTAGTTATACTTCATGCAGATGACACAATTATTAACAATAACAGGACTGTTGGTTGTACATGAACCATGTACACAAGAGTCCAGCTGCTATTATGTAGAGATTGCTAGTTTACTCTGATGACCAGCAGAGGTCAGCATGTGTTTAGTTTTACCGTGCTCACCGCTACAGAAGCCATTTCTGTGATTCGCTATGTTCCTAATAAATGAATTCAGATTGTAGTTCTTAATCATTTTTAAAATTATTTTTGTGTCATTGTTTGATAAATGTCAGAGTCTAACAGGGGATTTTACAGTGACTGGGTGGCTCGTTATTCCTTATCTAATAATTTGAAATGTCACATGTCACCCAGATAGACCTTTGATGCCCTTCATGTCTCCCACAGGCCGCCATGTGACTGCCGCTGAGGCGCTGCAACTTGGCATCGTGGATCAGGTTACTGATCACAACACTGTTGACGTGGCTGTGAAGTTTGCCCTGAGTGTTGCAGGTAGGAAACGGATAGCACAAGGTATAAAATCCACTCTCTCTTCAGTTTAAAAATTGGACTGAGTGACAGGAAGAAAACTTCTTCCCAGTGCAGTTATTTTGGTCCAACATCAAGAAGTGTCAACATGTAGGTCTGTGGAAGTCAAAGGAAGCAGAAAACACGGCAGGCAGATCCTCCACCGCAAAAGACATCAATGTTTCATGGCCCTGTCAGATGTGCTCTGATGTCTTCACTGCTTTTTCTGTATTATTCAGAAGGGCGAAAAGGGACAAACTTTCCTAGAATATTAATAACAGGCCCTCGCCATTCATTTAGGGGGATGAAGATTTCTCCGTGCACGAGATTCAGACTCTTTTACCCACTGAATGGATCGCTAAAGTGTGCCATGTCCCTACAGTTTACCAGGGATGCTTTCACAGTCTGTGTAAAGGCTAACCCATTCAGATCTGCTACATGCTACGTTATAATACTGACAGACAACACTAGTAGGTTCAATTGAAATGAAAAATAAAACATTTAAGATTACATTTTTGTTTTTTTTTAAGCTTCCTGTTTAACCTTTAGATATGAGAGTGCTTTTAAACATCTCATCCAACCCTCAGCAACAAAGTGAATACGCGTATTTCCCAAAATGTCAAACTATTTCTGTAAGTGGTTTTGTAAACTAATACATACACCACCCACTGGTGTGTGATTTATGTATGTTTACTTTGTCAGATTACATGAGGGGTAGGAGTAACTTGTTTAGTCTTGTCTTAGCAGAGCCTTGGTTGTACACACATGCATGAAATGAACATGAGAGGATGTTTTTATGACTGTATACTATTGTAGTTAGCCAGTTTCTGTCATATTTTACTGTGTGTAGCTTACTTGGAAATGACGGCTCATTACTAAGACATTTAAGTTAGTATGAAACCTGTTAGCTTGTGCCTAACAGCAGATGATCTCACTAAATGGCAACAGTAGTCTCCAGGATTGCCTGTAAAATATTTCACAATCAAAAGATGATTGAAGTCTTGTGCTTTTTACAAATGCTTTCCTCCCGACTTAACACTGCCAAGATGACTTTGAGTGGGTGAGCAAGTGAGTGTTTGTAACGCTGAGGCTTAGAGTGAGTCACACAGAGAAGCCAACAGTATACATGATGGGAGATTTGAGGAGATAGGACTGAAATATGCGGAGATACTCCGATACTGATCAGCAAGCGTGTTGCATTGGGACAGGAAATGTGTGTCTAAATATACAAATAAATCGTGTGAATGTTAGTGACATTGAGATGCACGGCTGGTGAGTCAACCAGCACAGAACAATTTAGTCTGTCACATCCATACATGCAATTCATAAAACACTACACAGCAGTAAAGCTGGCACATGGGTGTATGTAGACAAAAAAACATTTGAACTGACGTATGTGTGGGCTGATACACACACACACCACACATGCACAGATTCAAGTCTCTGCTGGTGACGAGATTAACATTTTTGCCCCAGTAGTTGCAACATCTGCCCGCTACATCTGTCAGGACGACCAGGCTTTCTACCCGCTGCACAACAAATCCATCGACACAGCTCAACCATTTACAGATTAACTGCTGCAATAATGCCCTCCTGAAGTACATCGGTATCACATTGCTCTGCCACACAGCATCTCATTGACTTTCCAGAATGTACTTTTAACTGACCATTCATTCTTCTTCCGGATATATTGATACTGACTTTATAAGGCACAATTGTAAGTAATTGGACTAAGTGGAGACAACAGATCAGATACGGCTGCTCTTCCCTTTAAGCTTTGCCATGGTGACCCAGATTCTGGCCTAGACCCTCAGCTGAGTGTAATTCAGCGGAGCTATGAAGGATTCTAACTACTGTCCCATGTAATCATCAGGGGAGGCAGAAATGGGTATTAAGATGCTTTTAACAAGGTTTTAGCAGAGTGGCCTTCCTCTTCATTCTCATTGTTAAATCCCAGCAAGCAGAAAGTTCGTGTTGTAAAGTTTTTAGATCTAATATTAAATCCTCTCATGTATTTTCATCTAGAAAATTGCTCCAGTAGTGTACGATTGCTCACAGGCCTGAGAATCACAAATCCCCCCCCCCCCCTTGCTCTCAGAGTTTGAAATTTGCCAACTATTTTGCCCAGAGCCAAATTGTTGCTTTTCATTAAGTTTTAGATCGGTGTTATTCAAAGTGAACTGCAACAGTGCACTGGCACTGGAGTCCTTCCAATTATGCTGGAAATGGTCTTTCAAATCATTCTGCTCTTATAAGCTACTGGGGTATTTTGTGATTGAGTGGCCAATTATTTGCAGACTGAGTGCTGGCAGCGCTTTTCAGTTTAGAAAATACAATTATGCAGGTGAGCATGTATAAAAAAAAACGTCATTACAGAGTTAATTTTGTGATTTACTTTTAGCAAAATTCAGAGGACTGTAAGTAAAAAGGCAATTCCTCTGGAGTCATGTTTCTTCCATGTTTCTATTTCAGGTCAGTCACTGGATGCCCGTCGTATAAGTACTTATCCGTGTCCACGCCCGTCTGATTTGGATGCTCTGTTTGAGGAGGTGATGCAGAAGGTGCGTCAGAGTGCCCGTGGAGCTATAGCGCCAGTTGCATGTGTCCAGGCGGTGCAGGCGGCTGCCACCCTGCCGTACAGTCAGGGCATGGAGCGGGAGAAAGAGCTGATGGCCACTCTCTTCACCTCAGGCCAGGCCCGTGCCCTGCAGTACATTTTCTTTGCTCAGAGAGCCGTTGGCAGGTGGAGGATGCCCAGTGGAGCCAGCTGGGACACAAGCAAGCCCAGGCCCGTAACTAAAGCAGCTGTCATTGGTAAGAGCTTTGGACTTTTAATCTCTGTTTGTCTGAGCTTTCAATAAGCACAAGCACGTTCACTCATCAAGCTATCTGTGTGGCCTATGGAAAGTAAGCCCTGGTTTATAGTTCAGCTGAGTGTAAATGGATGAACCAGCTCTTCCATGCAGGGAGGATTGGCTGCATGACAACCTGGATATGTGAAGCTCTGCAGCTTGTGCATTCATATTGCATGCTTTGGAAAAACTTCTTGCTCCCAGGCTAAAACTATTTACAGTCTAGCGTTGTGTAGAGAGTACTAAAGCTATCATTTCTGTGAGATAAACTTATATGCATATACTGTAATTTTATCTGTGATATGTGTAACTGATGATTCTGAGGCAATATTTCTGTCGTCGCCATGTGATTTTGTCTTCAAAGGTCTCGGCACCATGGGGAGAGGCATAGCAGTGGCCCTGGCTCAGACAGGGTTGTCTGTGGTTGCCGTTGAGACCCAGGAGAAGCAGTTGATGGAGGCAAAGCAGGCGGTGTCTGGCATGTTGGAGCGAGGAGCTAAGAGACGTGGGGGGGTTCCAGCGCTTGGTTTGATCAGTTATAGCCAGAGCATCCAGGCTGCAGCCGACGTCGACCTGGTCATCGAGGCTGTGTTTGAGGACATGGCCCTGAAGATAGAAGTATTCAAGCAGCTGACTGCTGTTTGCAAGCCAGGAACTCTCCTGTGCACCAACACTTCTGGACTAGATGTGGACCAGCTGGCCTCTGAAACCCCTAACCCGGAGCTGGTGGTCGGAATGCACTTCTTTGCCCCAGCCCATGTCATGAAGCTGCTGGAGGTGGTGTATGGGCCACGGTCCTCTCCCCAAGCTGTGGCCACTGCCATGCAACTGGGAAAGAAAATGGGCAAAGCCAGTGTAGCAGTTGGCAACTGCAGCGGCTTTGTGGGGAACCGCATGCTGAAGCTATACGTCGAACAAGCGTCCTTCCTGTTGGAGGAGGGAGCTACACCTGAGTTGGTAGATCGAGCGCTGGAGGAGTTTGGTTTTCCCATGGGTGTGTTCAGAATGTCCGACCTCTCTGGGCTCGACGTGGGCTGGAGAATCAGGAAGGCAGCCGGGCTAGCGGAGCCTGGAGAGGCATCCAGGCCATCAGCTAGAATCCGAAAAGGCTACAGGTACAGCCCCATTGGAGACCTGGTCTGTGAGCAGGGACGGTTTGGCCAAAAAACAGGCCGGGGATGGTACCACTATGAGAAACCCGGCAGTCGGGTGGCCAGGTCCGACCCCTGGATGCACAGCTTTCTGGAGCAGTACCGAGCCCGCCACGGCCTGGTGGCACGCAGCATAGACCACCAGGAGGTGCTGGAGCGCTGCCTCTATTCCCTGATCAACGAGGGCTTCCGCATCCTGGAGGACAGAATAGCTGCAGGACCCGAAGACATCGATGTCATCTATGTGTTTGGCTACGGCTGGCCCAGGCACCGGGGAGGTCCCATGTTCTACGCCAGCATGGTGGGGCTGGCAAAGGTCCTGGAGAGGCTGGAGCACTACCACCAGGCTCACCCTGATGTGCCCTACCTGCAGCCCTGCAGCCTCCTCAGGAGGCTGGTGGCCAGTGGCAGCCCACCTGTCCACATGTGGAGGGAAGTCATCAAGAAACTCCATAGCCAGCTTTGAATCTCAAACATGTCAGCTTTAATCTTTATTCACTTTAATGTGGGCCTTATACTGTGATGATGAGCGGTTAATGAACTGCACTTATGTTGTGCTTTATAATAATGTAAATCTTTTTCTATAATGTGATTATGGATAAAATTGTCTCTTCTGCCTTATCCGTTTCTTTTTGTATCCTCCTGTATGTAAAGGGTGGGTGCTTGAAATAATAGACACACCTTACAATATACTTCAACATGACAAGCTTTACAATGATTGGATGTGTTGCATTATATCGGAGTGAATTAGAATGATAATCTCTAAATCTACTGCCCGATGCCTCGATAAACACATGTTATAGATTTATGTATTTTTTGTGTGATTTATACAGTTCTATTTGTGTGAATCTGGTACACATGTTGGCTTGTTATTCAGGTGCATGTGTGTGCCATTTCATTTGATCCGTTTCATCAGTCAAACAATCTGTTGTGGAGCAGAATAAATTAAAACTTCTGCTGTGTGTGGTGTGCGTGTCTCGGGTTTCTGTTTTTTTTTCCTACTGACTCAGCTGGAGTGGTGACGGAGGAGAGCTGAGGGAGACACTCAAAAGCTAAACTGCTTTTATATAAATTATTGGCTCACTCCCAAAGAAGTGTCACACCTCAGCAATGAGTAGATGTTGAGGTTGCCATCTAGCGGCCCCAAACTCAGCAGCTGGATTAAACATTATGATGCTCCATTTTGTCTGCAAATACACTATTTCTGAACCTTTCGTTGTTTAAAAGCAGGTCAATGCATGACCAAAAAAAAAGTCGGGATTAATGAATCGATATGATTGTGAAATAGATTATATAATAAGCACCCGTTCAGATATTGTAACCTATTTGAGAATAGTATTCAGATGGACTGGAGTATTTCTTTCAGATCAAGAGCCTGCTGTTTTGAAGTTTTAACGGGGCCGATGAAAGCCTGGGTGTGTTTGAAGTGCGCAGAGCGGCTGGCTTTGTGTTGGTGGACTCCTCCCGTCGTGTGATGAAGTTCAGACGCGCTCCGTAGTTCCGTACGCGCGTCACCAGCTTTGCACAGAGGAGCTTCCCGACGCGAGGGGAGGATGGAGAGACGTGCTGCTCGCGACCACGGGAGGCTTTGAATGTCACATTACACGAAGCTAATTGACGCCCTTTCACTTTTACGAGGTCATGTTTCAACGCTTTGCATGAGCAGTGACCCGGCTGCTCTGGATTCAGAGATCCAGCACCGCCTTTCACGTCCGTCCCCGAGTTGAGAGGCTTCCTGGGCTGCGTGGACCGTAAAAGAAAAAACGTGACTCGGTCCCTCGCGGTAATGTTGTAGTTCACTCGGACGAAGCTTCTTCTTTTTTTGGGATACAGGAAATGTTGGCATGGCCGCCTCGCGAGCACAGAAGTCTCAGAAGAGTGAGAAGTTGGACGAGGCGCAGGCTTTGGCCAAGAGCTGCGCGGGGAGACCAGACTTCCTGCCTTGCGATGGGCTCTCCATCTGCGCTACCCACAGCCACGGGAAGTGCTTCAAGCTGCACTGGTGCTGCCACTTGGGCTGGTGTCACTGTAAGTTTGTTTACGTGGTTTAATAGCTTTTCTGTATTGCCAGGACTCTCGCGGTCACTGTGGTTGCTAAAATATGCTGGTTGACATTGCCATGTTGAGAACGCAGAAGCATCAGTTCACTGTTTCTAAAAAGGACAAAATGTAGCAGATATGAACTCGATATTGACGCGCTCACAGTGAACATTGTGCTGCCTCAGTGGCGCTATTCATATCTTTGGTAAAACTTCCAAACATATTTTAGAGTGTAGTTTTGTCTACTTTGCAATAATACCGAGGTCACATTTTCAGAGTCATCGTTTTCCTTGATCAGAGACCTTCGAAGAGACGCCCGAGTATTCAATAGTTTAAACAGTGGAGGATGCAGAAGCAGGGAAATAGATGTTCCAACGTCCTGGTGTTTAATTCTATTCTACTGGTTTTATTTTGACACTTTTTTTTTGTGTTCATTTTTTATTTACAGCCCAAACTGTCGTGACACAGTATGCTGTAGTTCAGTGCAGGCCATGACAATGTATAGTGACTAAAACAGATTTCATTAATGCAGCCATACTGTTTGAATCTTTAACTGTCAGTTGTAATGTTGTGTTAAAGTTAAAGAGCACAGATTATTATGAGTATGAGGATGTTGAGTTGAATTATCTTTCTGGAAGTGCATGTATCTACTGTTAATGATAACGTATTCAATTGTAAAGGTATTTAGGAGTGGAAAACACTTGAACAACTAAATAATCTTAATGTTTTTGGTATTCCAGTGTCTTCCAATTGAACGGTATTGAACTCCCAAGTAGGCCTTTGGCTTGTACTGTAGCATATGCTAGCCTGTTATGATTGCATATGTGTGTCTTGCATTTTAAATATAAGAGAGAGTATATTATGTAAAACCATCAAAAGGAGTGCACGGACATAATCAGCCTTCATTTACTTCACTGTTAATGGAGATACTTGGAACAAGTGACATCACACTTGACACCACTTTCATTTCTGCTTTTAAGGATATGTCTTGTGATATATTTCCTAATGTCTCAAATCCAGTAAAAGACCAAAAACCAATAATTCATTTTTTTCTACTAAGAAATGTTGTTTGTGTTGCCAAAAACCTGATGTATCGTATTCCTCTACTATTTTAAGCACATCGTTTCGCATCACTATGAACATGGAGTTTATTTTGTGCCAATCCCACATACACAATCCAAGTGCAGTGAATACACTAAAGCACCAAATGTGTATTAATCCACAGCTGAAAATAGTCCCCAACAAATGCAATATGTATTCCTGTTTGAGTCATGTTTGGTAAAAACTACAGTGCCCAGCTGTTTTAGGAAAATATTTTTGCATGTTTTACTGCATAGTCGGGACCCAAACTTAAAGATTTACATTTTCCGTAAGAAAGAAGGTGCTGGGATGTTGAGAGCTATAGCGATGTTGGAAAGTACTGAAAGGTTAATTAAGACACTGCTTTGGTCTTTAGATGGGACTTATTGACAACAACAAGAAAAATTTATATTATTAGCATCATCCTTTAAAGTAAAATCATCCCATGTTCAGACAAAGTCAAGCCGTTAGTCAAGTTCATCAGCTGATATTCTTCAGTTTCAGGCCAAATATTTGATAATGTTAACTTAAGTCAATAGTATTACCACATTGTGATCGATATCATTTATCTTGACTGTTGAATTGACTGTATTGGTAATAGAGCACATGGTAGCAGCTCCACTCAAACTCAAAACTCGAATTTTCTTTTCTCTCTGTGAGGTGTTAGTAGCATTATCACCACCCCTTAGACTCCGTTTGAGCCTTTCTCGACCTGCCACTTCCACACCAACGCAGAACCACAATAGCTGTGCCTGAACCTGACAGGATGTCCGTCTCTTTGTGCTGCCCTAATTTATCCCATCTCTGACTGCTCTGAAAATCCTCAGATCAGTGTGAAACACAATCGCCCTCCACTCTGTACACCATTTAGTCGGGGCTTATAGTGTGCAAGTGCACAAGTCACATTGTAATCTTTGCCAAGTAATCATTGGATTTAGATGCCTGCCTCTGTCCAGAATAAATATCTTATGAGGCGGAAAAAAAACGATGAATTCTTTCTGGTGCTTATGATGAGCCACAACTAGGATTTATGTTTCTCAGCACAGCCTGTGTAGTGTTACATCATTTGTAAACATTTAGTCTTGCTCCTCCTTTGGAAGATGCATCTCCCAAGCTGAGAATGTGCTGTACAATGGACATGGAGCACTTTGTCCCCATTATTTGATTCAGGCTAGAAAAAGCCAGCAATGTCATAAAGGAGATTCTCACCTTCACATCTCTGTCTACTGGAATTTGCAGGTTCCCCTCGCAGGACACTCACGCACCACAGTGAGAACAAACCAGCTTAGACTGCAGAATCAGGCAGAAACCGGGCACCCGGTGAGAAAAGTATAGCAGCGTGCTTCTGCATGCAACGCCCGCCCGCTGTCCCTAGCTCACACCCTCCTTTCTAGCTAATACATAATAGCGCTGGATGCAAAAGAGTGAAATGTTGTAACGTTACTTATCTTTTCAGTTTTTCATTTGAAATGCTGCTTTGACTGTCGTCTGGAGTATAAACTTGTTCTGAGGCTGATAATTGTGCATTCACCACAGGGAGCCTTGCTACACTGCTTTTTTAATTACATTTTTAATAGGTTTCCAGGCAAACAAGTACAAAAAGGTCAATGCGTAGTGAGACTTTGGCACAGCATTTGAATTGTCAAACACAAATTATTTCCATTATCATACTTGTGGAGCAGCGATTACCTGTGACTTAATTTCTGGCTTTTCCTATGTCCTACGTGCCGTTGCAAGCAAAACATTTTCATGTGGTCTTCCTCTCATTTGCTGCTTCCAGACTACACTTTTCGTCTAGAAAGTGATGCTTTGGCGGCCTTCCAGTGGTTTCCACTCAGTTGTAGCTTTGTTAAACCTTTTGGCTGAGGAAATTGGGAAAACTGGAATTGGATGTATGTGGAGGCAGTGTTCCCAGCTGGTGACAACATCAGTCCAAACCTCTCAGTGGTAATTAGCTATGTTTAGTGTCACCGCCAATATGTCATGTCTGATGAGAGCTTCTGCTCACAGCAACGCTGGAACCACCTGGTCTGAATATTTTTTCTCTCTTTTTTATCCTCTACGAACTGATTACAATTACCAGGCAGAGCAATGAATTACTCATTAAGAAAGTCTAACCGAGTCTAATGAGTCCCGAACAGTCTTGTCAGTCTGCTTGTTCTCTGCCAGTTCCAATTTTGTACATTACAAAGTGTACTTCTCTTGTAGGTTCAAGAAATAGGGATCGTTTTGTCCGACTTCCTCATCTCATCTGTCACACCGTGCAACTGTAGCTCACAACTGTTTCTAAAGGGAAAATGGAGGGTTATTGGATAAAGCTCTGCCTTACATTGATTGATTTGCTGACCAATTCAAAATTTGCCGCAGTGCTGAATCATAAAAAGCTTCAGCTATTATTAAAGGGTCGATACATTGTTAGCACAGGCCAGAGGGGATTGATTGGATGTTCATGTTTGGGAACCACTTTAACTGCTGGTCTGTCAATGTTGGAAACAGGGCAGCCCCAAACTAAAGTTCAACACGTTTTTAAAGGATTATTGTAGAGTGTTTTCAGGTCTGTCATCACTTATTTGTTTGTCTTACTATCCCCTCATTGCGCCTCAGCAAAAGGAAGCACTCAAAGTTGAAGAAATGTACAAAAAAGACTGCAACATAAAAGATACCACCTTAATGTCTCTCACATAAAGCCTCATATAGTATCTTTGAGCAGAGATTTAGAACGCATATTCTCATTGCAACAAGGTCACTTCTTCAAAGAAATCTACTCTATTGATTTGAATATTAAAACCCATGTAGCATTATTATTGTTTCATTAATCCTGGTCACTGTTACCTCACTGTGACAAGCTAACAGGTGACTAAAGCCTTGTTGTGGTCACGTCTTTTAAAAAAAAAAGGCAGCAAACAACACCACCTTTGTCCACAATGCTCTCTCTCTCCATGCAATAGTGTTGAACCCAAATGGTTTGGTGTATATGCTCATCACACATTAACCAAGAGAACAACAATTTTTGCAGGAGGATATTTTGACATGTCACAGCTGGAGAAGCACCGGTGTAAATGATAGAAACACAATGATGGCTGAATTCCATTTAGCTGCCTCAGTTTCAGGGTCTGTTGTGCCTGCTGGCTCTCTGTCAGGGCATATTGGGACACTAACAGAACAGAGCCATTGTTAATGTTATTTGTAACACCTGTGCTTTTCCTACGATGATAAGTCGCAATGTCTGCTGCGAAAAATGCTTTTTACCGAATTGATTGATGCCGTAGATCCATAGAGCAGATCGCTGTGAAGGAAGTGCATTCTTTAAAAGTACATTTGGGCATGTGAGTATTTCCTTGAGACAGACTTTAAGAAATCCGAACCTATCCTTTAAGGCCTTTACAGGAGCTGAAGTGTAATGCTCACCCTGCACAGGAAAAATGGTCCACAGAGTTGCATTTCTTCACCATGATGACAGACTTAAGAGTGAATTTCAAACTGGCTGCAAGTCAGGAACAGCCTTTTGCCTCTGGAGGCATGAAACAGGAAACAGGAAAGGAGTTTGCCATGATGCTGGGTCAGACCTTCCCCTTCTCTGAAACCTGAAACTTATGTTGTTGCCTCGGCCGCCTGCAGCCTCTTGGACAGATGTAAAGCAGCGGATGTGTGAGCGGACCCCACCGGCCAAATGGGTGCAGCAGCTGTTGATGAATGAAAACAATCTGCTAAAATGATTTTGTTCACCTGATTTTGCCGACACATTGATTTAAACTGGTGTGTTGCATTTATAGAAGATTTGCTCAGACTGCACATAAAAACTTCTGGCTTCTGCTCAAATAGAGGGGGTTGTTAATGACTCAGTTACTACTGAGGCTTTGATATAATCTGTTATTAACATGAAATAATCTGTGTGTCATGCCAATTCATTTTGACTACATGTTGAAATTGTCGATAATAAAAAACCTTAAGTAGAGAGAGAGAGACATTGAGGAGCTACATGCTGCATTATTCAGAGAGACTATCTCCTGTATTAAACTGGACTGTGCAGGAGTCGGCCAGCCACAGGCCACAGAGAGAGAGAGCAGAGAAAGGCATGCAAGATGGAGGCAGGTGGGAGCAGAGGAGTTGGAGCTACTCATACTTCAGCTCCTCCACCCGCTGTCTCATTAACCTCTTGAACTCTTCATTTTTACCAATTTATATTTTTATAAAACCCTTTTGGCTGCATACAACATTCACTTAAATTTAACTAAGTGATGACTACACTTGAATAATTAATCCCAAATTTCCCTCATTTTTATTACAGACATTTTATGATATTTTGCTATCTTTAGACACTTTTCTTTGTATTTCCACTGACAAAGTTCACTCCCTAACTGTAAAAGCAGGGGAACGAGTCACCTCAACTGCTTTAAAAAAGTGCCTGAAATTATAATTACATTTTTATAACAAAGGGCTGCTGCTTCCTCCTTTGATGTACCCTACTGCCTCATTTACATCCCGTCTAGTCCGTGATCTCCTACATCCCCCAGAATGCCTTTCATCAGTCTCCGGTGAACTTGTTGCTTTCAGCGGCTCTTAATTATAATGTGATGAAAGGCTTTCCAGTCAAGAAAACAAGCAAGGAGTCATTTGCTTTACTCAAAGTGCAAAATGCCCTGAGGCTGCATATTATTCTGGTCTATTGTTGCTGCTGTCAGTGGACATTGTGCCTGTGTTTCCTCTGCAGTTGATTTTTCAGAGCAAGATTGTAGTTGTAAAGTGGCGGAACTGCAGAGAAAATGTGGATGTTGATGTGTTTCTTTTATTCTATCAGTCTTCATTGCAGCAGGGTTAAAATGTCTCGTGACAGCATGTTGTCTGTCTGTGGCCAGTTATCTTTTAGGAAGAAAACTATAAAAACAACAAATGTAAGATATATCACCAGCAATATTCAACATGTTGCAGTCTCATTAAAAGACTAAAAAACAACAATGAATTGATCCCAACAAATATTTTCAGTGCTGTGAAATCCCTTTTCCCTCTGTGCTATAGACCTCCATTGCTGTCCAGAAACTATTACAGACACACTCTTGCACCGTGTGACATATTCCTTCATTGACATGAATTTTGATTCAATCCCACACACACTGTCCTACTGCCATACATTCTCAGCCCACTAAATGTGTATTAATCCACAGAGAATAGTCCCCTACAAATAGTCGCCTCTTATTGCCCCTGAGTAACATTTGCTTAAAACCATGTTGCCCAGCTGTTTTAGAAAATAATTTAGCTTCTTTTTTTAAATTGAGCTCAACAATTCTCATCTTAGAAAATCAAGTGGGTGGCTGAGAGCCACAGACAGGGGAAGGAAGTCAGAAAGTGATAAAGTGAAAGATTGAATTTGTTGTTACTTTTAGTTTTTTATGGAATTGGTTGACTATATGAAAGAATATAACTCCAGCCTCATCTTTCATGTATCTAAACTAAGTGAGAGGTGGCAAAATGTCCCCAGTATTGTGGATTTAGCCATTTTTTTTTCTTTGTGAGGACATCTGGTCTTTGTTGGTATAGAAATACACACACACACACACACACACACACACACACACACACAGGGCAGAGGCCACTTAACAACCGACATTGTAATGCGAGGGCTCCAGCACAGGATAGAGTACAACTGAATATCATTAAAGCTGCATAGACGGTGTTCACTGGCTGTCAGTCAGTGTTTGTATACTCGTAGCAACCAACATTTTAAAAGGAATTTTCAATGAAAGGTGCCCTTTTGAGTTTACGTGTAAACAAACCATTTTATCTCACCAAAAAGTATCGTGCATATAGCCTTAAGGCCTGACGAACGCGCTGGATTTTCTCCCTCATACAACATTTGTGTAAATTGCGCACCTTGTTCATTAATGTATGCCGGCTTGCAGTCTTCTTCTCTGCCGTCTCGGCCGCATTGCTGCTGTCAGCGTGCAAGTGAGCATGGTACAAACAAAACCGGAACCCACTTGTAAAAACATTGCTCTGTAGCGCTACTAGTGGTCAAAACTTAACACGGTACCTTTAAATGATCATAGTCAAAGAGTGTGAAAGAAAATAATCCCATTAGGGTTAAAACGAACAAATGTTTTCACTATTAATTCATCTTCCAAACATTCCCTTGATAAATCTGTTAATCATTTTGTCTATAATTTGTCAGAAAACGGTGAAAGCGACATCTTCAAATGTCTTATTTTGTCCACAATCCAGTCCAAATTCCCAAAATATTCATCTTCCTGTTATGTGTTAAACAAAAATTTTAAATCCTTATTTTTGAGAGGGGCATTTTTGCATTAAAAGTGTATTAATTGATTATCAAAATAGTCGCTGATTAATTTCCTGTCAATCGACTAATCGTTGTAGTTCTACATGCTATTAATAGAGACTGAAAACAAAGTATCTTTTCAGTAACTACCACTATTTGTTATAATACTAGTATTTGTTAATGTACAGCATTTGTAATAATCTAACTCGGTGTATCTTAGAGCATTCAGTTCAAGTATTTGGAATCAGAAAGTTGTATTTTGGTTAACATGATGATCCTCCTCTTCTCCTTTTTGCTAGACTAATTAAGATTAGTCTCACACATAAAGCAAAGTCCTCTGGGGCTGATTAAAAGAGTCATATTTGCAATTTATTTCAAACTAATTCGGCATTCTATACACACCGTATAAATCTACAGACAGGCTGTGTTCCTTCTGCAAGGCTGTTGAGGACAACCAGCGTTGGTGTTGTGTTGCCCCGTATGTCTGTATTGTTGTCTGCCCATGCATCTGTCTCTCCCCCAGTATTGCTCTTTCTTGGTATCTGCAACTCCAGATGGATGAACGCAATTAGATGTAATATGCTAAAAACTAAATGTCATACACATTGCCATCTACAGCTTTAGCTCTCATTTGTTGCCGCTATCGTGTCTGCCTGAATGGCCTCATCTCACTCCGAACATGGACCATTGAGTTTGTCTCATTAAATAGAGGACTGCTACTGTTCCCCCCTTTTGTCTGTATCGTTTTAAGCTCCTGTGTTTACAAAGAATATGGACATTAAGCCTCTTTTAATGGTTTCACATGGGTGGATGATGCCGTTTTGTGTCCTTAATAAAGATGTGGTCACCTGAATTAATTTAACCATTCTTGTGGGCAGTAAATAAAGATTTAAGCGGCAATCTTGAAGATTTTCATTTAAATAAATGTCTGTTTAGTCACTGTCTATAGCTGAAAGAGGTAACACAATGGTAATTGAGCCTGTGGCCCACTGATGAAAGTATTGCAATATTTATATATTTGCACTTTTACGATACGTGTGTCTGTAGTGATATTCCTGGAAGAAAAAATTATGTTTTCACTCGAATAGAAATTCTAAACCAACCAGGACTGAAATCTTAAGGATTGCCACTTTAATCAAGCTTAATATATTTTGTGTGGTGCAATGTCTCATCCTCTCGGTACAAAGCCACTTCCATAAAATGGAAGAAGTTTTCACTGTAACCTGGGAACAGATTTTGATTGAATGGGTCCCCCAGCCGGTGAGACAAAAGACAAGGACACAGAGTGAGAGGAAGTGATGCGTAGGCCTGTCATCTTCTGTAGTTTCTCTCTCTTCAGGGAGCGAGTTAAACACACATCTGAGCCGCGCTATTCAGGCAGCATGGCTCAGAGTCGGAGGCAGCGGGCTGCAAACAATGAGTAACATTCAGGAGCAGTCATTTTGCACAATCGCCACCAGTATATGGGCTGCCAAGATGGGAGGCATAGCACACATGGAAGGCGTTAGAAGATTTGTATAGAAGAGGACAGTTTCCAGAGCAAATTTGGGGCCATTATCTCATATAGGATTTATGTGACACTATATGTTACACCATCATAAGCCATCATGTTAGTAATACAGATCCAGCACCACATTGTTGTATATATGGCCTATGTCATGTTTTCGTTGAGCCTTGTATCAGCTCCTTAGAGTCCAAAATAATTGCTGCACTGCTCTGGAGGGCCTGCAATTTAAATTATGTTACATTCTGGCTGCGGCTGCATCTCAGAAGGTGGTGGCAAGGCAGGTATTTCTGCCCTTGGCAGCACAAAATCCTTTGTGATGTGATAATTGCTACCGCTGCCACTTTAAGAAAGGACAGATGATAGGTTATCACAGACACGCTATGTCTCCCACACTTCTTGGCATCAAAAAACGTTGTCTTTGGTTGAACCTGACTGAAAACGCATGTTTATTAACTACTAATATATTACAATTATATTTCTTTGCTAGCTACAACGAACGATGTATGAGCTGAGGGGTCAAGTGCAGTTTTACATTATGGCTTTACACTTGTTTGGGACATGTATTTGGTGCAGTGAACAGAACAGTTGAGGTTGAGACACAGGATAACAACTTGTAAAATGTATTTTTATTACCCTGTGTCTTCTAACATTTTCTCAGTGCATTTTCTTGTTGCTGTTGGGATTCCTGCCAAATGTCTCCACATGGTGCCAGTTTGGAGTTTACTATTTTATTGATTTAAACCTGCATTGAGTGTTTTTTAGTTGCTTTGGGGCAGTGGAAAAGCAAGCTGGAAACACAACACTGACATATAATCACCTTTTAAGTTGATGTGGTGATCATATAATTAGGCATAATAGATCCAATATTCATTCTTCTTTTAGCTTTGTTTTGGTGTCTAACAACTCCAGAAATATGTGTCAGTTTGCTGTTTGGTGTTGAGAGGGATGCGTACAGTGAATTAATCAGATCCTTTTATTTTTCCCCCCTTTAGGTAAGTATGTGTACCAGCCCATGACCAATGTGTGCCAGCTGCCCAGTACAAGCGTGCCAGCTGTTGAGACAGAGTACAGTAACACCATGGACCTGTCCGTCTCTCTGGCTGAGCGCTTCCTGAAACTCGCCCCCTGCTTCCAGTCCCCACCTCACCTGGAGTCGCCCAAGTACTGCGTCATTGCGGATCTGTTTGTGGATGACTACATTGTCAAACGCATCAACGGAAAGATGTGCTACGTGCAGCGCCCTCCGCCTCCCTTACCAGAACCTCCTCATCCTCCCACCCCTTCCCCACCTGCTCCCTCTACACCTCAGATGCCCCAAAACCCCGCTCAGCCTCGGAAACCAGTGAAGCCTGCACCACCAACCCAATACACACCTGCGCCTTTGCAGCCGGTCCAGCAAGTGCACAGTGAACACAAACATCCTACCACTGTGGATAAGATAAAAGGCCCCAAAATGGACCACTGCTCCTCTCCGTCCAGCTCAGAGGACTCCGGCATCAACGCGCTGGGTCTGCACTACCTGGAGTCCTGCGAGGAGGAGACGGAGGAGGAGGAGGAGGAGGACGACGAGTTGAGCACAGATGGGAACTCCAGCCCCGGCAGCTTCTGGGATCAGGACGACTGTTCTCTGCTCTCCCCCTCCAAGTCTATGATAGAGATCATCGAAAAGATTGAAACAACTGTGTAACTGACACAACATCGACATGGACACCAGCTGTGAGGGAGCGAGAGCTACAGAGCAGAATTAATGAGAATAACACTAAGACTAATAGGACACAAACCCCTCTCTGATGCTTCAGCGGGGCTTTGCGTGGTTGTTTGGTTGAATTAGTTTTCCGGCAGGTGGTCGAGGACTGTGCGTCTGCGCTCGCACACACATCATGTAATCTGTCCACATCCCCTGCATGGAGTGAATTTCTCGAATTTATTACAATACAGAAGAAAGCCACAAGCACAAGAATATTAAGCACATGCACAGTGGACCAAATAGACCTCCTGTACGTGGTACATACGCACTGTACGCACTGAAAAGATTCAAATACTAAAGGACTCAATAGTAGGTGCACTTCAGTCAGAGGAAAGTAAGAGAAAAAGTGAGACTTTTCTCTGTGATTTTAGAATATATTACTGGAGCTGAACTTTGTATGAACATAGTTGGTATCAGTAGGTTTTCTGATGATAATGAGCTAGGCCATGCTTAGTGTTCTCCAGTCGTCAGGCTGCCAGACAGACTTTATTCTAATTCAGCTTTTAAGAGGCAGATACGCAAGTGTCCCATTTCTAGTTTCTCTGGTCAGTGACTCCACCCACACGTATTAGTAATTCTGACACTTCAGCATAATAGCTACAAGGCCAGCTACCTCTCATGGGCCTAAAGCACATCAGCCCACTCAGCTCCGGGCTCCTGGGACACGACTGCTTCTGTCACGTTAATAAAAAGATTCCGGGCCGTCAGTTTGTGTGCACTTTACTGACACCAACACGAGCCGGTAGGTAGATAGGTAGGTCAGTGTTTGACAATCAAGAAGCACATTCCTATACTGTTCCTGCCAGCGAGGGCCAAGGCTACTCTTATAAAAGCATTTATCAGACATTAACACATTGTTCTGACCACATATTCTGGTCAACCTGGTCTGAACTGCTGTGCTGTTCAAGGTTAAATGGGGCGTTAAGCACAACATGACTTGTATTGCCCTCTATTAGCAGCCAAGAAATTAAATAGCACAGACGTGTCTCTGGCAGAGCTACAGTGACAAAAGAAGGAGTCACGTTGTTACAGCAGAAACTAGCAAAGAGCACCTAGGGATGAGGGAATATACAGTATCTAATATATATATACATATAAACTTATACAACAATAAAACTGAATTGTTATTTGCTTTTTGGGCTTGACGGTGAAATGTCCTGTGAAGCCAGCTGAAAGGGAGTCTGGTAGAGTTGTGCAGGTTAGACTACATCGCAGCTATGTTGTGTTATGGGGCAGAAAAATGGCACTTAATGCGCCTTTAATGGAGAAGTATGGAATAGGTTGCTGAGTATGTTGTGGTGTTATAAGAAAAGCACTTAGATATAATGTTTGTGAGACAGACCCTCATTAGTCAGTTAGTAAAATGAAGATGGGCTTTGGTCTTTTAAAAAAAAAAAAACGTTTTAATGTTTCAAGTGTTGTTTCCTGGAGAGTTATCTGCAAAAATCACTAAAATCTTCACAAATATGTATTGCTACAATGATACGCTAGAGATGTAAACACGTTTTTTTTCAAAAGAAGTACTTTTGCATGACTGCATTCCTTTGCAGAAGTCCCTCAAGTAAAAAATACAATTTAACAAATTTGTGGTTCAGAGTGTTCAAAAAGTGAACAAATCATATATCTGTCATTCAATTCAAATGTTTTTCGCTTATTCAGGAACCTTGACACTGAACACAATCTGTCTTAATGCATCTAAAACTTATGTTATGTTCTTATTATTGTTATATTATTTTCATATGAATAAATCCAAATGAGACTCACACTTTCTCTCCCTCAACTTGTCTTTTGTAGTCAGTGTGGAGAAAGTTTAAATCTTCTTTGAATAACTTCTTTCTCCTGACACACAGATGACTAATGCTCTCCAGAGATTGAGTGTAATAGCAAAACAAAGTGAGAGATGTACTAAAATTGAGTCATTACTTTAGCTGTGGTTACTTTTCCTCCTTTGAAATGTCTCGACGAATGTTCTTTGTTTTTGTCTCGCACATTCCCTCCTTTGTAACCTTTACTTAACTAGAGAAAAACAAAACTGAAGTGAGAGGAGGAGAGTGGGTGGTGGAGTTAAGATAACCTGTGTATATATTATGGTGTAAGAAATACAATGCAGGTTAAAATCAAGCCCCTCCACCTCTGACCCACAATCTTCCTGTTATTGATCCACACCAGGGATAGAGACAGTCCAGCCATGTCCTCTGGGTCTCTGCACCAGACAGTCTTCATCTAGCAGCTGATTGTATGAGAGACCATGCAAGTACCTCTCTCACCTTGACTACGAGCCCAGATTGATTTCTCCATGCTTCTCTTTTTCCGCTTCATTGAGTCTATCGATTATTTGTACATTAGTGCAAAGAGAAAACTGAGGCCGGGATGAAATGTTAATCTTTTTTATATTATGTACTGTATATACATTCATTATCCCGCTGGGTGAGGAAGAGGAGTGTGCTATACTGGCTGCTGGAGAGCCTGGATGACAGCACGAGAGTGGAGAGGAGAAGAGGAGAAAGTGTGAGTGCATGGATGGAGTGCGGTGACAGGCAGAGGAAGCTCAATTAAAAGGACGATGATGATGCAAGCACATGTAAAGTCTTTGCACGGACTTGCGTGTGTGTGTGTGTGTGTGCGTGCGTGTGTGTGCGAGCAGGCACACAAGGTCGCATGTAGTTCAACATCTTGAAATATTTTTTTTCAAGAGCTACAGCCAGATTTCATGAAGAGATAGATTGCTGTTACAGTTAATCCCTCACGGCAAAGTCATTCAATTGGCAGGCTCCTTGAGCATTGGACAACTCACAGACTCTCTCTCTCACACACACGCACACACACGCACACGCACTCACAGGATGATGCACGCCAAATCAAAAACGCCCTTGTTCAAGGACTGCTTCAGAAGCAGGGTTGGCACAGCACGAGTCACACGATCGGTAGAGAGATGTTGTCAGCTCCACTTTTTCCTTTTGATGTGCGTACCAACAGATTACCTTCCTCAGGAGATTTCCTATTTATGTCATAAATTGCGCTTTCTCTCTAGTGGCCACTTATTAGACAAGCAAGAACCCAAATACTCAGAGGAGATTTTAGTGGCAAAATCACAACATGGAGTGCCAGCAGTGCATTACCTGAGTAAGGGGAGAACCTTTTGACTGAATCTACTCAAAGCATTTCCTGTAACGAAGAATTTGTTTATTGCCTTTATTTATTTGATTCAGCTTAAGTCGCTTCTCTCTAAAAAGTTGATTTGGTTTTACACATCGAAGGAATTTAAGGACGTATGGTATGCAGATAGCAGATGACGGTAATTTGGATTTGCAATTGACATCTACTGTCAATGATATGCCAAATACTGTAAGTGTTAAAAAAAAGACATAAACCAGGTATGTGGGCATAATGGGCCATGCACAGAACGGTCATAAACTCATGTCATGTTTTGTTAAAATCACCAGAACTTTATTTTGAATTCTAGTGAACGTCACAGTTTTGGGGGAAATTATAAGTTTATAAAACGACAAACTAAATTTCTATTAACATCGTGTGAACGTCATGTAGCTTCAAAGAAGAACTGGAACAAGCTGAAACAGTTACAGAATGTGAATCTGTCAAACAGAGGGCAATATCAAAAAATAATTTTACCAACTTCAAAGTAACTTAAGGGGAAGTTAAAAGTGGAAACCAGAAGTAAAGGGGTTACCATCATTTATAATTTGACAGTGCACCTCATGAAAATCCATATCAGCTCTCTTCAGGGAACCTGCACTATATTGCAGGCTTCCTCATACAGCCCCATCTCTAATGTGAGACATTCAGAGCCATACTTCAACAGCAGCACTCCATCAAAACGGTCATATATACGTCCAAAATAGTGTCCCTGTGATTGGCCTGATGCTGGCGGTAAGCAGGTACCAGAGGACCGCCAACAGGCTGCTGATAAACAATCAGACACATGGCTTTGCCTTGGTCGTGCTCGATGGGCGATGGGCTTCTGTCTGATAAGCTTTATAAACGCGAGAGTGTCACCTGAAGTGCAGCTCTGCACTCCCTGCCTGTAAAATATTCATTACTTTTTTTCCGTCACTGTCTGCCCTCGTCTTTGAAATGGATTTAGAGCACTTTTTCCTTTTACACACAGAGCGTGACTTTCTCCCTGCAAACTCCAGACAACAGCTTCAAGTTCTTTTGAGGATAGACAGGGCTGTGTTTGAAAGTATTCCCCCTTTGTTGCTTAAAGCTACTTGGTGATTCATCCTTTCTGCTGAAGAGCTTGCAAGTACTTTTGTGTGATGTCAGAATGACTCACAGTGATATACCGTGGTGTGATTAGTTGGCTTTGTTGCTGTGGATTAGTCCGTATAGATGGTGATTCTGTAGTTAGAGAAAGTGCTGTATGAATGATCACATTTGCACGTAAAATTTGCAACACCTTCTTTATGTTTAAAATGGACTTTCCATTTGTCACTCAATGATCCTGAGTTCAACTAGTTCATGGTTACACAATAATTCTCAGTTGAAAAAAAGCTAACTCATGCTCACTTTTCTGTAGTTTTCATTGTTTTAATAGCGGCCATTGGCAGAGCAATTGTGTGTTTTGTGAGCTCTGAGGGAAAGTTTGAATCCATCTTAATCACATCAAAGAGTCAGAGGATGTCTGGAAGGCCTACACTGGCTTTCAACTTGAAAGCGAGTAAAGTCAATATGGCCGCCTCCTCTATAGTGTCTGCTTTCCAGTTTGTTAAATCTTTTCTCCCATAACTTTTATTCTTTTCGTGCTTTTGATTTTTAGAAACAGGAAAAAGGGAACATTAATTACCGACGTTAGGAATGAGCGTAAGTATCTACTCTCTGTGCGCACTGATTTTACTTCTCTCTTATCTGACAAATTTGTTGAGGCTGAACATGAGAGGATGTGGTTTATTTTGAAAGGAGTGCAGCATTATCGCCTGAGTGTCCTACGGGGGGCTTACAATCACTTGAACTATGAGGACACAAAAACTGCAGTATTTAATCGTGTCAATTCAACCCTCGTGCACACACAAAAACTTCACATTCAGGAAATGAGGGAATTACAGAGAAATTACAGATGTGACATTAAGACACTGTAACATCATAAAGCTATTCCCTCTCTGTCTGCACCAGTCGAGGGTTGATTAGCATCACAGTCTACATTCACATGATTGATTTTGCTCCAGTGCTCTCCCATAACACAGATGTTGCCCTCATCTGCGAGAGTATTTTTTTATAATGCTGCCGCTCAAAAATTGCATTGTTCTCCACTGTTTAATACTTTCTAAAAGGTTGCCCAGAATAGAGGGACAGAACTAGGCCAGCACTGGACCCAGATTGCTTCTAGCAGCTATGACGGAAATAATATGGGACGCAAGCTTTCTAAATCTAAATGCCTACTGCCTGTCAACCTTAGAAAACATTGGTTTCGGGGGAATTATTGCATTATGAGATCTTAGCCATTACTGTGCCCCAGGATGAGCTTTGTGGATCCATTAATGTGTGTCGAGATCTTGAAGGAAAATCTTGTCCTCAAAAACATATCATCATGTAACTCAAGTATGAAAAGCAATGATAAAAGAAACTTGAAAAGGTTCTTTATGTTTTTATTTATTCAGGGTTTCTAAAATGTCAGAATGTGTACCTTTCCAATAACCACACAATATAATCCTATGTTTATAGGTGATTGGCGTTGATCAATGATCTAGGAGGCTGTTCTTGGTTTTTTTCTTATTTTTCTGTGGGTGGCTTAAGTTACAGTACACCCACATCAACACATTTTTCCACACTGGCTTAGACATTTGATCATCTACAGCTGTCCATATTTTTTTGAACGACAATGCACAAATGCAGAAAACATCAGCAGTAATATAAATGTCCAAACATGTGTGCTGTGGTGCCAGCAGTCGGTTAGCTAAGCTTAGCGTAAAGACTGGAAACGGGGTAAACTGCAAGGGTTTGATAGGAATCTGCCTTCTAGCACCTCTAAATCCCACTAATGAATACGTTTATATCTGACTGTTATGTGCTAGACCCTTTCTTGCAAAGCAAAGCGAACCTGCTACTGCCTGTATAGCTTCATATGTAGCGTACATGTGAGAGCTGTTTGGTGTGGCTACCAGTATACTTCAATCATGGCTCTACTGTAGGAGGCTATTCTTGGGCGTTTTGCAGTACACCCACACCAACCTTTGAATTGCATCTAAATAGAGGACATTACACCTACACCACACAGTGAGAGTGTGGGTGAAAAATAAAGGTTGCTTGGCCTTGAATCCTGCTGTCAGTGACACATGTGCATCAAGACCTAGGTACATTACACACAGACATCACACATAATAGCTGTATATTTCAACTCAAAACACACATGAATGTCCACAAACAATAGCATATAGCTCAAAGCTAACAATGAAAAAAGACTTCTCCATACTGCGAGACATTTAATGGTGGCCAAAGCCTGGTGCACAACACTGCCAGCTTAGTAGTAGGAAATAAGACCGACTAATTTGTGTTTGAAAAGAGGCCTGGTCGTGTCTGTGTGCCCGAGAGAGAAGAGGAGGAGGCGCGTCTGATTAAGCAGTGTGTAAATGGACCTGCTGGCTGGACCAGATGAGGACCAGCAGATGGTTTTCCACACCATGGGGTTGTATCTGTTGGGCTGCGCTGTGCCGAACCATGGCCCCTTAAAAATAAACGCCTCAACTTGCAGCACAGCGTGGCCCCCTGGCCCAGCCCCATTCTCATCGCCTCCACTAACACCATTAGCAT